GGGGGGGGGGGGGGGAGTCACAGGGGCAACCCGCGCGGATCCGGTGGCATCGCCCATGTTCCAGCCTCCCTTTTTACCAAAGTTTGATATACGGATTGGTCTCGTTTTCTCGCAAAACCATCCCGGCTAGCTCAGTCGGTAGAGCGTCAGACTTTTAGCCCGGTCTGTCCGCAAAGGCGGATTTGAGGTCCATCTGAACGTCATGGGTTCGAGCCCCATGTCGGGAGATTTTCTTTTTTTTTCTTTCCTTTTCTTACCTTGATCCCACTAATCCTGCCCCCTTTCTCCTCGTTTTGGGCGACTGATCAAGACGACGACGAGCGGCGCCGACGGCCAGCCTTCTCGGCATCGCTGAAACGGTGTTGGGATTGCAGCGGCACACGTATGCCTTCGCAGTCATGGAGCCACACCCTTCTCAAAGTGCGGTTCGAGGGACGGCTCTCGCTCGCTCGCTCGCGATGCCAGCAGTACCAAGACGTCTGCGCCGTGAGGGCCGGATCTCGACGGCGATCAGGGGAGGGAGGACGTCAGAGTCATTGTCGCCGACGCATGGGAGAGGCGGTCTCTGGCTTGCTACTCGAACCGGACCGAGACGAAGGGGGACAAGGCGTTCATACTACTGGGCAATGGGGCGCTGTAGTCAAATCATGGTACGATGGCCTCGGCCTGGCATTTGATTGCGTGTGGACAGGCAGTGGCACAGGAGACTGGTGCGGTACATGCATCCCCCTCTCTCTCGCCACGCGGCCTCGACGAGCCGCGCTGGTCGCCCCGCGTCAGTCCATCCAGTGCAAAAAGAGAAGTGCGAGGCCGCTACCGACGAGAAAGACGCTGAGCATCTTGTCGGCCTCCCTGCTCCGCTGCCTCGCCTTTTCGAGCTGCTCGTTTCCCTTGCCCACCTCGGTGCCGACGCCGATGGCCTCGTCGAGGAGGCGGTCGGTGACCTCGCCCTGCTGTTCGAGCTGCTGCGCCACCTGGGTCTGGAGATCGCTGATCTCGTACAACCTGCTCTCTGCCTTTTGGATGGCGGCCAGGTCCGACTCGAGCGATTTGACGAGCTGCGACGACTCGTTTTCAAACATCTCGATCTGCGTCGCCGACAGCTGCGTCGAAATGTCGCGGCCCACGAGCGACGACTCGGACTCGAGCGACGGGTCAAACGAGCCGCCGACACTGCCCTTGACCGGGGCCGGTGCGGCCGAGGTCGAGGTCGAAGCTGAGCCGCCGTCTGCGCCGGCGTTTTGGTGCGACAGGATGGCGCGCGAGTTGGCCAGGGAGCGGCTCTTTTCGCGCTGGGCCTTGAGGCGAAGCTCCTGCATGTCGCTCTGGAGCGACGAGGCGCGCGAGAGGAGCGTCGAGAGGTAGTGGGTGACGGAAGCGCGGTGGGCAGAGATGATGGACGACGCGAGGATCGAGGATGCCGAGTCGCGCGGCGTCGAGAGCGAGAGGAGCGTGTGGAGCGGCGAAAGAGCCGTGGGCTCGGTCGGCGCCGTCTTTTTGCGCGCTGCGGCGGGCGTCGTCGGCGGGAGCCGGGGCGTGGGCGGTTGGAGGATGCATAGGCAGATAGCGACATCGACATCAAGAAGAGGGTCGAGCGAGCAAGCATTTGAGGAGAGCGGACAGAGGTTGGCGTGGGGTCGAGGGGAGAACAGGCGACAGCGAGATCAGCACGACGTCCGAAGCCGATGCCCGGCAGAGAGGCGAGCGGGTTGGCAGGGCGGGAACCAAGACGAGGGGCAGGAAGAGATGAACCCCGCACTCGTCGCGCCACTGCATCACGTCACCACCGCTCACCTTCCTCTGCGAGTTCGAGCTCGCGTATGCTTTCGAGGCAGCGCTTGACGACGACCTTTACCTGAAAGTCGATTTCGTCCCTCTGTCGTTCGGTGAGGGGTCCCTGGAAAGCGGTCCACATGGCAAAGGGCGAGCTGCGATCCGCCTGCTGTGCGGCATCGCCATCGCCGTCGCTGCCGGGCTGACCTGGGGCGAGGGGCGTGCGTGGGCGGTGGTGCTTGGAGGCGGACGAGGGGAGGGCGAGGTACTGCCTGCGTATCGAGTAGAGGAAGGCGAGGAGGGAGACGATGTGCCTGCGGATGGTGTAGGCCTGCGCCAGCCACTGCTGATGCGCACGGACGACGTTGGGAGGGGGGTCGCTGCGTTGGAGTCGCTTCGAGGGTGGCGGGTAGGACGAGGACGAGGACGACGAGGATGACGAGGACGAGGATGCGGCGTCGACGAGGGAGCGAAAGTCGCCTGTGCGGTCGTGGGCCGGTGGTGGGCGGCGATGGGTCGACATCATGGCGGCCGTCGAGGTGCGGCAGAGGGCGTGCGGACGAGGCGAGATGAGTCGATGGTGGCGTGGCTGTGGCTGCGGGCGTGGGTGATTGACCTGACGGACCACTGACGGGAGGCAAAGTGCAAGGGTGAGTGGGGGGTCCAAGGGTCAGAGGAGGAAACGGAGCCACGAGCGAGGTTCAGGGTTGGCCGCGTTCCGAGGTTGGGGGCGCAGCTGGGTCGGTCTGTGCGCGCAAAAGGCCAGCGGGGAGCCACAGCCTCCACCTGGCTGGCTGGCTGGCTCGCCGACCCTTGGGGCCGCGAACACGCGTGAAGTACCAAAGTGGCGAGGCCCGGCCCGGCCTGGCCAGGGCAAGCCATGCGGCGACAGACGTGTGCCATCACTCGCTGACCCTTGCAAACGGCACGCCTGGTCGCGGCATGCTCTACGCACACGGCATCTAGCATCCGATTCATTCCTTCTCGCATCGTAGGCGACATCACGAGGGTGCCGACGACGGCGAGGCCGATTGCAGCCTCTTGGCGCTGCAGATCCACACCTGATCCTCGCGCACCACCTCAAAGGGCGACACGAGCAACGCCAGCTCCAGCAGGCCTCGCCGCTGCCGTTCGGACCACGGCACGACTGAGCGCAGCGCCTGCTTCAGGTCGCCCACCAGCCGCCCCAACGACTTGCGCCTCAGCCCGGCATACCCCTTTTCGGGCTGCAGCAACGTCTCGAACGGCTGCTCGTCGTCTCCCAGCGCCGGCGTCTGCCTCTCTGCATCGGCATCCGCACCAGCCGCCGTCGTCATCGCACCCTGGCCTGCCGCTGCTCCTGGTCCGGCCGTGATGGACAGCAGATCCAGAGGCGGCACCTCGTATAGCACCTTGCAATCCCGGTGACCGGTCAGCAGGTGCGTGTAGTCCGTCCACGCCAGCCTGGCACCGTGCCCAAAGACGGGCAGGTTCTCGGTCTTGTCGTAGATCCACGGCGTGCCGGGGGCCGAGCTCCAGAGCGAGAACGGGTACAGGGTCCGCTCGAGACGCAGCGACTGGAACAGCGTCACGCCCGTCATGGCAGGCATCACGTCGATGTGCAGACGCACTGTCGAGCCGGCAGAGCCAAGTCGGTGAGCGTAGATGCGGCCGCACAGGTCAGTTGTCGTGATCCTGGCCGCTGGGATGTCAGAGTTCCGCACGGCTTCCGCTCACCTTCCTGGTTCCGGCCAGCCGGCGTGTCGAGGTGGCTGTGCAGACGCGACAGCGCATGGCCGCCCGGATAGTTGAAGTGACTGGCCAGGGTCGCCAAAAAGGTGCCCGCTAGCGTGAGGAGGAGGACAGCATACGGCACCGCCCGTGCAAGCACGTTCGAGCCCGCTCCCTTGACGTCGAGCCTGTGGCGAGGGTGGACAGGAGACAGAAATCAACATCGCTTCTTTGCGTCTGACAGGCTCGCAGGGACAGCGCTCACAGCTTGGCAGCGCCAATCGCGCTAATGGCGTTGAGGCACGGCACGCAGTACATGATGAAGCGCCACTCCTTGTGGCCGAGCAGGCTGAGGGTGGCGATGTGCGCCGCGGGCAACAGCGCGAGCAGCGCACGGTGCGGGTACTGTCGCGGTGCGGCGCGGGAGCCGTAGATGGCGACAAGCCCAACCAGCAGGAGCGGGATCGAGACCCCGAGCAGCTTGACGAGGTGCTCGGTCAAGTAGGCATGCCAAGGCGAGACCTGTGCGGGGCAAGCGGGGACGAGGAGCGCGTCGTATCGGTGCATGAGCCAAAGGCGGGCCTCGCCGTGCATCCCTTCGGCCGTCATCGTACTCACGCCCCACTCGCTGCTCTTGCCCTGGACCACGTTGAAGACCATAGCCTCGAGTTCCGGCCACAGCGGCCGGCCGGCCCCTGTGCGAAGCAGGTGAAACGAGTGCTTGAAGGCTCCGTACATTGACCGCGGAGCGGCCGACGATGGCTCGATGGTTTGCCAAAAGTAGGTGTCCAGGAAGGTCGTGGCCAGGGCGCTGACGAGGCCGGCACCGGCCGACACGGCCACGAGGTCGACGACACCCAGCCTGCGGGTGAAGAGGATCCACAGTCCCGCGGGCGCGAGGATGCCCACGACCTCGAGGCGCAGTACGCTGGCGGCAAAGACGAGCAGGGCGACGGCGATGCAAGCCTGTCTGCGAGCGACGTGCGAGCTGTGGGGAGAAGCGTGGCTAACCCTCGCCAGCAGACCGAGAGCGAGGATGACTGCGGTGCGGGGGTAAGAGGATGTCAGTTGGCTGCCGAGGTGCAAGGCTGAGTCGCAGCCGACGATGCCAGGCTCACCGAGGGGAAAGGCGACCGAGTTTGGGACGGTCCTGCTGAGCCAGAAGTTGCAGTGGAACTGAGCCGCCGTCAGTGCGAGGAAGAAGAGGTAGGGCGAAGGCCCGCCAGAGCCACTCGGGCTTTGCGGGGGTTCTTTCGGGTCATGAGCGGGGCCGCCCTGAGAGTGAGGCGAGCGCTCTGATCTGGGCGGAAAGACGGCGTCGGCAAAGAAGGCGAGGGCGGTGCTAGACGCGAATGCGAGGACGAGGCGGACCAGCGTCTGAACGTCGGCCGAGTCGAGGGCGGGCGAAGGGAGACGGAGGACGTCGGACAGCAGCCAGGGAAGGGTGTGAAGGGCGAGCGAGGTGGGAGCGGCGAGGACGAGGGGCCCGAGAAAAGACCTGGGTACGGCGCCAGGGAAGGCGCGGTGGTCGTAGAGGTGTAGGCGGCTGGACGAGAGGCCGTGGACGAGGATGTCGTGTGTGGCCTGGATGGTGAAGCTCTCCTCTACCTTTGTGTAGGGGGTGACGACGACGTGGGCGGCGGTGACGAGCGACAGGGCAGCGGCGGCGCAGACGATGCGGAAGCGGCGAGGCGTCCTGCGCGGGCCCGAGATGCAGAACGAGAGGGCGTCGAGCAGGAGGCTGAAGAGGAAGACGCGGGCGACGAGGCGCTTGTACCAGGGGCCGACGACGAGGAAGCACAGCAAGAGCGAGGGCCACTTGAGCAGGCGCCGGAGCCTCTGAAGCGACGCCCGCATGGTGACCGGATGGTGAGAGCGTCGAGGGCACGCGGCGGCAAGCAGCTGCTGCGGTGAGGGTACACATGAAGGTGCGAGGTGTGGGGGGCAGAGCAAGGAGTCCCGGCTGGCCAAGTTGGGTCTGACGCGGGTCTTTTGCCGATTTCTGGGCCAAGCCGAGCGAGGGGGTGGAGGGGGGCCGGCGCACGGCGGAGCAGGGCACACACACATGCGCCCGCAGCCAGGCGCACGCCGGCCAGGAATTGAGCCTAAGCTCAACCACACGGCGTATACTCCGTCCGGGCTACTGAGACTCCAGCTCGTCAGTTTCGAGCGGGACGCCGCCACCACCAACCATCATCACGGCAGACAGGCAGGTCTTTGCAATGGACCTCGACCACAACGGCGTCGTGCAGCAGTAGCTCAAAGGTATTGCTCGGACTGGCATTGCATCGCATCGCATCGCGGCAGGGTGGACTGGACAGTAGCAGTTGCCACATCATTGCTGTCGATCTCGTCTGCTCAGCTAACCCTTCTTGCCCTTCTTGTCGCGTGCTCGCTTCTTCTCCCTCGCAGCCTGGGAGGTTCTCTTGTGCGCCGAGAGCACGGCTTGCTGGTCTCGGCGCCAGGCCTGCTCGAAGCCGTAGCGGACCTTGTTGAAGACGTCGAGGTTCACGTTGGCCTGCTTCGGGTCCTTCACAAAGGCATTGAAGGAGGCGAGGTTGGTCTTGTTCACGCCTTTAAGGACCGAATGATCTCCCCTGGTCAGCTTCAACGTCTTGCGCCCGGCTTGTCCTGCGAGATTGATGTCGTGGTCGGCGATGAGGTGGTCTGCGAGCGCGTCCGCCGCCATCTTGCCTCCGCAGAAGCACTCGCGTTCCCGGGCCGCCGCCCGGAGCACGTGGATGGTGTTGATGTGGGGGGCGAGGTTCTGAGGTTGAGACGCAGGCAATAGTGGTGGGTCAGCGGCCGGCAGCAACAAACAAAGGCAAACGAGAACGAGGCTGACTTACTGCCGCTTTGTACGACTTCAGCCGGTGCCGAGGCGCGAGGGTATCGTCCGCGAAACAAAACTCGCAGATGTCGTTGTGTTGCCTCTCGCCGCCCTGCAGGTCCTGTCGGTGTCGATTTCTTGATGGCCGACGAGCCAGACTTTGTGGACCTTGCAGAACGTGACCGTCTCCTCCGTAGCACGAAGGATGCCGTGTTCCGTCTCGAGATGACAGAGGAGGTCGGCAATCTGGTTGTCGGTGGCGCAGAACTTCTGGGTAAGGTCGGGTCCCGGCACGTATGGGCACGTCGTCCCGTCGTCTCGAGTTGCCCGGCATCTCAGCAGCCCAATCGGCGCGCTGAGGCCCAGGTGATGATCGAGGTGGGCAGCGTAGGCCTTGGCCCCCACCAGCGTGTCGCGGGCGGGAGGCAGGGCTGCGGCGCACGCGCCGGCGGGGCACTCGGTCTCGTCGATCGTGGCTGCGGCGGCGGCCAGGTACACGGCCTCGACGAGCCTCGGACCGTAGCAGTGCATGACATGGTCGACGGCCTTGACCTCGCCGCCGCCCCCGCGCGGCTGCTGGCCGCATCCGGGGCATCTGCTCACCCACACGGAGACTCGGCACCCGAGGGAGCCTTCCAGCATCACAGCGACCGCCTCGTCGGGGGTGCAGCCGGTCTTGCCCTCGAAGAGCTTGCCGAAGTCGGTCGGCGGCGTGTCGCCGAAGGTCGACTGCCGGATCTCGTCGAGGCAGGACCTGAGGACCAAGGCTCGGCAGTCGGGGTTGGACGAGAACGGCCGGGGTGCGGCAGGACTCGGCGCGTCGGTGGCTTTGCTTTTGCCCTTGCCCTTGTCGTCAGGCGATGACCGTTTGCGCTTGGGACCGGCCCCGGGGCCCGTGTCCAGCGCATCAGTCCCGGTCCTCTTGCGCTTGGTCGATGACGGGTTGCCGTGGCCCTCGTTGTCATCATCATCATCGTCGTCGTCGTCGTCGTCGTCGTCGTCGTCGTCGTCGTCCTCTGCTTTTGCTTCTGCTTCTGCTTCTTCGTCGTCGCCGATCTCATCCTGGTCGACGTCGGCGACGTCTTCACCGGCGTTGTCGTCTTCGTCGTCTTCGTCGTCTGCGACCCACTCTGTCGTGTCCATGTCTTCGAGGACGTCGGCAAGGCCAAAGTCGACCTCGGCGCCGCCGGTACCAGTTTCTTGGTCGAGCTCCGGGTCGACGTCGAGCTCCGAATCGCGAAGGATCCTTCGGACAATCTCGGCGTTCGTCATGCGACCGTCTTCGTCGAAGGCGGGGTCGACGTGCTCGGAACCGGCGGCGGCGGCGGCGGCGGGCAGGGCCGGGGCATTGGCATCGGCGGTCGAGGTGGCAGCAGACGCTGCGATGCCTCCCGAGGTGCCGCTGGGGCCAGCAGCGAGGCTAGACTTTTCGAGCAGCGTCCTGCTTTCGGCGAAGAGGTTGGCATGCTTTTCCGCTTCGCGCTTGCGCCCCTTCTCCTGCTGCGCCTCGATGGACGCGTGACCCATGAGGACGAGCCGTCGCCTCCGGAGCCGTTGCAGGCGTCGCACGCGCTCCTCGAGGCTAGGGTCGGCCGCAGCCGCCCTCTGGAAGGCCGGGATGGATCCATGGTCGGCCTCGATCTCGCCGACGAGCTCATCCATATCCGCCTCGAGGCGTTGCAGGGGCTCGGAGGCGGCGTAGGCCGCCCGCTCCTCCTCGAGGGTCAGCCTTTCGCGCCGGACGACGAGCGAGGAGGGACGCTTGAGCGAACGGTGGGACTCGGACCGGCCCAGGAGCAAGTCCTGGAAGTTGATATCGGCCCGTTTCGACACGTAGTGGCGCGCGAACGTGGCGGTGCCTCGACGGTGGCCAAGCGTGTTCTGGGCGTCCACCTCCGTCACCTCGGGCGTGTTGATCGCGGTCCCGACGGCGCGCCGCAGGCAGTAGTACGTGAACAGGGGCATCGAGGCCAGGTCGCGGTTGCTCCGGTTGAGCACCTGCGCCTGGAGCGAGGTCCACGCCTTTTCGTCGTGCCGCGTCCAGGCCCCGTCCTCGCCTCGGTCGAACCCGCGCAGCACGAAGGTCTCGGCCTTGGTGCGATCGACGGAGAGTTGGAGGTGGGGGGCGTCGTTGCTGCCGACCGCCGGCTGTTCGGCGCTAGCGAGGAACATGTCCTTGTCCATCTCGAGAAGGTCCGACCAGCTCTTGACCCCAACAATGATGCCGTCGACCATGGCGGCCGTGACGAGCAGGAACGTCTGATCGATGGCGTACGGGAGATCCGGGTCGAGGTGAGCGGCTGCTTCTTGTACGCCGACGCGCGAAGCCGCAGCCCCTTTAGGTTGCGGATGGTGACATCGATGGTGACAAAGAAGCTGTCGGCGGCCTCATCGTAGCAGAGGAAAAAATCCACATCTTTCCACTTGAGAGCATCGCCCCATCCCGGCGAGAGGACCAGCTCGCCAGGCCTCGACGCCGTAAAGAGCGTCAAGGACAGGACGATGGCATGCTGCAGCCTCTCCAGAGGGTGCTTGTAGTGGGCGAGCGGGGAGAAGACGGCCTCGCGGAAGAAGCGGTAGACGTCCCCCATGGTGGCGACCATGGTGCGCTCAGCGTCGTCGAGGCGCATCTTCCGGATCAAGGCATAACACTCGGCGACGATCTCGATGCCTGGCTCACGAAGCACCTTCTGGCGGTAGAGCGTCACCACGCCCTTGAACCGCTGCACGGCGGTCTCCTCCTTGACCTTGCGCCGGGCGGTGTACGGGTCCTGGCGACGGCTAAAGGTGCAGGCCTGGGCGACGAGCTTCCAGAAGGGCCTCGGAAGCGGAATGCCGCCCTTGGAGAAGTAGTTCTCGGTCACGGCCTTGTCCTTGGCCTCGCGAACGAGCGCCGGGTCCTTCAGCCTGGCGAGCCGAGCGCTTGTGGCTTCGTCCCATTCGTCGGCGAGGTCGAGGTACTTGACGATGAACGCTACGAAGAAGCGCTCGTTCGCCTCCCGCTTCTCGATCGTGCCCGGCGCGCGGAAAGGTTGGTCATCGGTCTCGTCATGCTTCCTCCTGAGCTCGTGGAAGTTCGCCCACATCTCGCCGAGGTAGCCATCGTCGGCGGCGGCGTCCCCCCGCTGGCCTGACATGTTGCTTGGAGCGCGATGCGGATGCGGGCGACGCGGGGACCGTCGACGCAAGGCAGAGCGACCGGTTGGCTGAGGAGCTCGAGCGGTGCCGGCTGAAGGGAAGCAGGCGGCTTGCTCAGGCTGCGAGCATGGAGAGCGCGCGCCCGTCGAGCCGATGGCGAGCGAAAGAGAGAGTCGTCGCAGGGAGGGCTGTTGCGAAGGCGAGGGCGGAGAGCCGCCGAGGGACCAAGGCGAGAGTCGAGCGCAGGGAGCGCAGCCGAAGAGGAGGACCGGTGGCGCAGCTCGGGAGCTCGAGCAAAGACGAGTGCACAGCGCAGCCCCGGAGGATCGGAACCAGGGCGAGGAGAGGAGGGTGGACAATCACTGGGAGATGGCGAAAGTGAGGAGGAGAGACAGAGAGAGACAGAGAGGGTCGCAGCGGCTCGCCGGGTGGGTGGCGGAAGGAGGTTGGCGAGAAGCAGCCCACGGCGGCGGGGCCTGGTTTTGGCTGAGCCCCTCCCCGTCCGTCTGCCCGCTCGCGCGCCCAGCAGCCCCAGGAAAAGCAAGGCCGGGGAGGGGGGGGGAAAAAAGGCGCCGAGCCAGGCAGGCAAGGATCGCGACGGCCTAGCCCGATTTGGGCTTGTAGCAGGCGCACACCGGTGCGTTGGCGGTGGATAAGTCCTTGTAGCAAAGCTCCCCTCGTTGGCGGTGGAGCAGGAAAGAGACGCCATCTGTCTGAACCCATGTCGGGGCCTTTGTTGCGTGCAGCTGCCGAGGAACTACGCTCGGCAGGCTTTGGTCCAGGCACGCGCACGCGAGCAAACCCGCCCGCGCGCCAACAACTCCTCGCCGGAGATGCACATTCTTGAGGCCTTTGCAGGGTGCTAGCTATTGAGGCAGGTCGAGCGTCTTGTCCGAGAGCGAGGGTGGGTAAAGGGTGTCGTGATGGGGACGGATGCGAGGGGGCAGACCGATCCTGGGACGCGACGGCGGTGGCGGCGAGCGGCCGGAAGCTTCACTCTGAGGCTTTTGCAGGCTAGGGTCGGGCCTACGTCGAGACAAGTCGACGGCCATTGTCCGGGAAACGAGGGGGAGCTTGCGAGGGGGAGGAACGGGCGAGGCGGAAAACGAACCGTTGCCGACGACGACGAGGCAAGCTCAAGGAGATACACAGACCGAGTGCAACGAGCAACCTTTCCAGTCTGGTACATTGGGCCCCCGAGGCTCGGCCGATCGGCACGTAACGAGAGTGATCCCTGTCCCAAGGAAGTGTATTCTCGGACCATCGACGGGGGCGGATGAGATCGTCGTCTGAATGGCAAGACCTCGATCTCGAATGTCAGGGCGGGACGTGACCGAATCTCTGGCTCTGGAAGCGAAGGGCTGTTTGGTACGTCGGCTGGATCCGTCCGTCGCGGGGGCCGGGCCAGCATAAAGGGATGCGTGCCGGCCGTCCGAGACCGGGCGCGATCAGCGTCATCGCCAACCCGTCCATGCCGTGCAGTAGAGACGGAAGGCATCGCGCGGCGTTGCATCGTCGGGCTTGGCCGCCTCTTTGTAGGTCCGCCTTGATCGTGCTGCCATCGTTCTGCTGCTTGGTCTGTGAAGGGGCCGTGCGACCGCCCAGGAGGGAAGCCGTCGACGACGACGACACGCGAGGCGAGGTCAGGCGAACCTGCTTCGACGGCGGTTCGCCGAGGCTGCGATGCTGGCGGAAAGCAGCGAACGTGGTCTGTCGGGTGCACAAAGAGCGGCGACATGAAGACGCGGTCAGACGATCAGCCACGCACACTACCTCGTCACGACAGACAGACGAGGTGCAAGGAGAGGAGGGGGACGTTACGAGCACACGAGGTCATTGCTCGTCGATTCACTCACGCTCTGCGGGTATTTCCTCTTGGCGGTCGAAGGGGGACGCAGCGGGAGGAGCCGAAAAGGGGGGCCGCGACGTCGAGAGGGGGCCCGCCCTATCCGGCGCATACGCGGCCGATGCAGCCCATCTCCGTGCTCCGTCCTGTGCCAAGGCTGCCGCCGAGCGATGTGGTCCCGGCTCGTCCAGGCGGCGAGGATCGCGGTCGTCAACGGCCTCGAGCCGGCGATAATTGTCGCACGGCCATACCGCGTCGATGACGGGCCGATCGGCGCAACGGACGAAGGAGGGAGGAAGAGAGAGAGAGAGAGAGAGAGAGAGAGAGAGAGAGAGAGAGAGAGAGAGAGAGAGAGAGAGAGAGAGAGAGAGAGAGGAGAGAGGAGGTAGGTAGGTAGGTAGGTAGGTAACGGTACGGGTACGGTAACGGGTACGGGTACGGGTA